CTTGATTGTTTTAGTTACCATTCTCTGGACATTTTTCATCTTATTTTGAACAACTTGTCAGGACAAAGACAGTGTGCATGAAAGCTTTGAATAGTTATCTTCTTCCTCTACAACCTGCTAGTATTTTCTAGAATTTAGAACTGTGTTTACGGATATTCTTTCTTTTGAATTTCTTTGGCATTTGGTTTTTTTAGACCACTCAGCACTAGAGATCCTGAGGTCCTCCTTCACGTGTCCCTTGCAGCAACTCATCTGAGTAGTCCTTCCTGTATGTTTATAAAGGACTTGTTTATGTAGGAGATTTTCTGAAGCCTTATATTGTTGAAATATATATTTATTACAATGACATATTTATTAAAAGGACATTTGACTGGGTAAATAATTTTATATCTGAACTAAAAAACATAGTACATCTTATTTCCTTGTGTCCATTTTTGTTATGATGTCTGATGTCCCGATTCTTGTTCTTTTGAGGTGATCTGCTCTAACTCATTCTAAGCTCTATAAATTTCTCCATGTTTTTGATGTTTTTAAATTTCTGTGGTAGTATTTCCAGGTGTAGGTGTTCTTGTTTTGCTCTGTTTTTATGTATCTTGTTTGGCACGAAGGGAGGTCTAGTAAGGAAGTCCAGGTACTCAGACACACCCCGGCTTCCCTGAGCTGCTGATAGTTGCTTACGAGGTGTCAGTACCAAGCTGCAGATGGCCACACATGCCGGACATTCCAACGAAAGTCTTTTTTTTTTGATAAGTGAGATGTGAGAGTCATCAATTCCCCAATTAGAAACACCTGCTGTTGTAGAATGTGTTGCTCGCAATAGTTCCGACTTCTGAACACTTTTTCTGCCAAGTTTTTCTTCCGTTATTCCATCCTGAGAAGCTTATGTCGGAGCGACCTCCTGTGGCGGGATGAAGTTACGCAGGCAGGCTCGTTCGCGTTATTACTTGTTTAAATCACTTTTCTCATGAGATTAGCTCTTCAGTGACCAGAACTTTTTCTAACAGCCCTTTTTTTTGCCAACTACCGTGTCCTTTTATGCCAAAACAATATTTTATCAGTGTATAATAGAGTTGAATTGGATGAGAATTTTCAGGATTAAAAAAAAGTTTTTCAAAGAAGTATTTGGAGTAAGAGTTCTAAAGGCTGTCTTACCAAAAATACAAAACCCCCCTAGTGGATGCCATTTTTCAAAAGGTCTTACATTTAATTAAGAGTTGAATCTTCATCACATCTTATCCTTTGGGTTCCCACATTTTTAAGAAGTGTTAGTTTTTATTTGCTCATCAATAGCAGTGATGATAAGCATAAACGCTGAGCCCAGGATAGCATCTGTAAAACACAAAGATCTCTCAACTTGAGAGTAAATCAACATTAACTGAGTATGCACTAACCTAAGACCTGTATGACTTAAATTGTGTTTTTCTAGCATTCTGATCAAAGCCATTATTAATGTCATTGCACCAGGCATATCACTTAGTATTGGGTCCTAATGTTGTGAGTTAAGCAGATCGTTCTTATTGAACCTGGTCTTGATGCCATAGTACTAGTTACTTTATTTTCACTGTATTTTTTTCATATGTTCTTATTTTGATAATTTACATCCTATTTGGTTATTTATAGAGCATCGAAGAGAAAACTTGCACAGAACATCAGATGTTTCAGTTTGGTTCCTAGCAGAGCGTGACGTGGCATTCTGTTTCGGAAATCAGTGAGGCAGTGTTCTCCGTAGAAGAGCCCTGGGGGCGCCGGGCCAGGGCCGAGGAACCCACATCGGCAAGGGTGCCATCTTAGCTGGAGACTAGGCTCAGACCGATCCTACAGAATGGATGTACTAAGTCTATGGCATGCCACATATCTAATTTTAAACTGTCTAGTAGCCACATTTAAAAAGGTAAAAAGAAAAAATGATTTAAACACATTTTGTTTAAACCAGTTTACCCAGCATGCTGTCATGTCAGCATGGATCAGTATTAACATATTGGTGAGATATCCTACAGTGTTGTTTTCATACTAAGTCTTTGAAGCCCACTGTGTAAAGAGCATTAGCTTATTTCAAGTATTCAATAGCCACATATAGGTGGTGGCTACAATATTCAACAGCACAGGTGTAGAGGGTCAACTGCACAAAAGTTGGCCATCTTGAGGCGAAGGAGCCAATGTCTGTACCCCCCACTTCAGTCGGTTGTTGGCCACAGTCTGCCCTCAGAGAGCTGGGCAGAGCAGCCTGGGAGGGGCAGTGGCTCCTCTCTGGCTTAGGGCCGCTCTTAGGAGCAGGTGCCATCTGGGTGTTTGCTGGCTGGAGGATGGGTGGATCGGGCAGGAAGAGCATCTGGGCCTCCAGCAGAGTATTCACTGCAGTGTCTATTCCACTCACTTGCACTTGAATCTCATGTTAAGTTCTCTCAGTGCAGCCTTGGGTTCTCCAGGAGTCTAGTTGGCTACATGTTCTGGGAAAGCTGTAGGAGGATGAGGAGTGGGACCAGGACAGCCCCTGCTGCAGAACTGGCCCCGATGCTGTAACTTAGACCCAGGGGGTCAAGGCAGCTTTAGCAAAATCCACGGGCCGAGCCAGTGAGCTGCTCTTCCTGGGCAGGCACGATGGAGCCGAGGATTACATTTCTTTCTCACAAGAGAACCCGATACCTGAGTCACCGAACAGAACCCAGGTCCAGTGCAATCCTGGGCTAACAAACCCGGGGCTCTGAGGGGATGTGGGAATGAAGAGGTTTTGAATCAGATGAGCAGGGTAAGATTGTGCTACAAATAAGACTCAGCATAGAAGTGCCATTGTTGCAAATGTGGGAACTTTGTGATAAGGCGGATAAGTTCTCTTTCCGGCCATCCTGAAGGGAGAGAGAAGAGCCCTATCCAAAATTTGGTCCAGAAGTTAAGGGTGACGACATCATACTCACAGAAAGTACAAAAATGTTTATTATTCACAAAATGAGCCTTTCTGATGAGAGCAGGGTGACTCCATAGCAAGTCCAAAATCAGTGGGGAGAGGCAGCGGGCTTGGAAATGCTGATGTGGTTTCTGGGCGTGGCTGATCGGGGGTTCCCGCAGGTGGTGCCGAGGGCCTGCTGGTGCCCCAGGGCAGCACCCGAGCATCCTCTCCTTCCCCAGAGAGAGGGCAGGAGGGAAAGAGGTGGGAGTGGGGCGTAAAGCCGTCAGCCGGGAGAGATGAGACAGCGCAGTCAGGTTGCATGTTCGTTTGGGAGGGCTGCTGGCAGGAAGGGGCCCCAGCAGAGGGCCTCGGTGATGGGCACTGGCTGCCTCTCCGGTCCAGAGGCTGGAAAAGCAGCGTCACAGTGCCTTGCATGGTGCCAGGTAAACCACAGGGAACCCTTGCAGGGTTGGCTCCTGAGGCGCTGTGGGAAACCTGCTTCTTGTCTCTTTCCTACCCTCTCGTGACGGCTGGCCGTCCTCGGCATCCTGTGGCTGATGGATGTGTCACTCAGATCTCTGCCTCCATCCTCACAGGGCATTCTCCCTGTGCGTCCACCTCTTCTTTCCTTAGAGGACACCAGTCATGTTGGGTTAAAGGGCCCCATACTCCTTACAACCTCATCTTAACTCACATCTTAATTACCCTTGCAAAGAGTGTTTCAAATAGGGTCATATTCACAGATTCCAGGGGTTAGGACTTAAGGATGTCTTTTTGGCATACAATTCCATAACAGATACCCATAACAGACCATTAAATCCCATATGCCACTCTGACAGAAGTGATTTATACTTGGATATAAGGTAAACTTAAAGGCAGATTTAACTTCTTACTGGCTGATTTCTCCTTGAGGTGGGGTAAGGTATCGGTCATGGCCCATCACCACAGACTGGTGGGTGTTCTGGTAGAGCTGAAAGCAGTGGTTTTCTCCACCTCCTCTCTTCCCTCAGTGCCACTGAGCTTCTGCCATGATCTTTGGCATCCTTAATTATTGGGTGATATGGACAAAGTTTGCCTACTTAACTGCTTTAGGGGTTATGGAGTACTTTGTTTTCTAAATTTGCTGGGTTTAGGGACAGGGTAATGATATCTTTGAACTCTTTAAAAGAGAGACTATAGGATTAAAGACATTTATAGTTGGTCACTGGTAGCTCTATTTCTGGGAAATGCATGGATATTTAGATAAGGGTGATAGAATCTATAACATGCTGTTTAAATTCTGCCCCTTGGGGCCGGTCTGTTTGCTTATGATTTTCAACTGGCACAGTGGGTTAGACAACCTGGCCTGGCCATGTGATCAGAAATATATTTAAATCTTTCTTGGAACTCCTTCCTTGAGCTCTCCAGAAGCCTGGATTCATGGCACACATCTTGGTGGTTTCATGCAGAGAGCATTTCAGTGTGGGAATAAGTGCCCTGGGAGTTGGCGCCTGGACGTCTCTGAGAGCCTCAGTGCCCCACTGCACTCCATTCTCCTTCTCTGAGTGGATCATGTCCTTTGTCTTCAAGTAAGAGCTTCGTGTGAGGAGGCTGTGTGGAGCTGTGTCTTTCCAGAAGCCTGAGTTTCAGAAGCTGGCGGAAGACAGGATTGAATTAATCCAGCTTTTGAAGCCTGAAGGAACGTTAGTCCTTTCAGGGAGCAAGTCCCCAGTTTGCTGTTGCTGAAACTCAAATCCAATCAATTATTAAGAGTCTTAAGGAATTAATCTTTGTACTTTCAACTTGCAAGTGCATGAAATTTTATTTTGGATTTTAATTATTTGAATTTGAAATCTTTGAACTTGAAAAGTTTTAGTATTTGCATTCACTTTGTTACTGGGAGTTTTTTAGAGGAGAAACTATATTCACCCTACGGTACATTTTTATATTGTTGGAATTTTATTTTTAGAGTACCTTTATGCATCTTGCTATTGGAATATCTTATTATTGTCCTTTAATTTCATTGAAAATCCTCTGATATGCTCTGCTGAATTCCTTAACTGGACCCAGTTTGGCTAGGATAGAACAGAGGTGTTGGGAGACTTGTCTTGGAGTTAATATCTTCTACTAATTTCAGATCCTTATGAGACAACTATTGGACTGTGAAGGTTGTGAAACATGCCTGGAAATCTTTTCACACCCCTCTCAGAGCCGGAGGCTTATATTCCCTCCTCTTGAGTGTGGGCCCTTTTAGCGGCTCACTTGCAAACAGCAGCAGCAGCAGAAGTGCAGTGTCTAATGCAACTTGCATCTGGTTCTCTCCGGACACTTGTTTTGGAGCCATGAGCTACTGTGTCCTACCACACTGAGGTCTCCAGGATGGGGAGGAGCTCCGACCATGTGGAGTGGCTGTGTGCAGCGCTCTGGGCAGTGGCCTAGCCAAGGTCCCATCCAACAGCTTCAGCAGCCTAGTGTCCATCACCAGACATATGCTCGAAGATGCCACCAGGGGATCCTCTGCCTCCAGTTACTCCCAGCTGTTGACTTGCCTGGCCAAGGCCCCGGAGAGGATGGAGCACAGGCAAAACATCCACACGGCGTCATTTGTAAGCATGAAAAAAATCACTGTATTCCACTGTGTTTCGAGTGATTAGCTGTGCAGCAGCTCTGACCAGTGCTCGGAGTTGGAAGTCTGTGCACGGGAGCAGTAGTTGGCATTGGCCGAACTGAGGCTGACGCAGCACATCCTGACTGGAGTTTGGTTTCCTTTATCCAGAAGAGTAGCCACAACCCGACTAACCGTGTGGTGGCCCAGTGGGCTAAGAGAATGGGAAGCTGAGCAATATTGGGACAGCCCTGCACCCCCACTTTTGGAGCCGGGAGAAGGGACTTTGCTACCACGCTCCCGGTCCTCCTGCCCCCTCGGTCACTCCCTCCGAGGAGGAAGGGGCTGATGTACTTGCTGGAAGTTTGAGAAAAAGAAATGGGCTCTGTGGGCTCAGCCTAGGGCCTCCTCTTTCTTCTTTGGGAACCAGGTAAACCACAGGGAGCATTCTCGGCTCCTCCGACCACGTCCTAAGCTGGGGGACCCAAGTCTTGCCAGGAAAGCACATGGTGGTGTAGCTTACTCTGCAACTAAGACTAAGTCCACTGTGTACTACCACCTGCCACTCACTTTTATAAATAATAAAGATGATGTTTTGTCCTCCAAAGGCCTTATTCCTAGTCTAATTTTTATTACGTTGAGAACTCAGGGATTAAGGGTGCCATTTATTGGGTTTCCTTAAGATGTCAAGATGATACTTGTGTATTCATATGAGGCATTTAATGATCTAACAGAGGACAGAATGGACTTTTAATGTTTTTACTAACAGAGTAAATTAAAAATATATATATACAATGTATAACATCTTGTCCTAATCCTTAAAAATAGACTCCATATGTAGGCTTGGAAACCAATTTCTCAGTATATTACTACCACATTAAAAGCATCTTTCAAAAGAACTGAACTTGCATGATTTCTGGGTCCCTAGAGTTACCCTTGTTTTAACTACTTCTGAATACAATTGATCACCTGAGGAGGTGATAAAACATTTGGAAATGACTAAAAAGACACTTTAAGTGTTTTCAGCTGGGAAGCCTATTCTATCAAAAAGAAATTTCAAAGGGCTGTCGGAAGATTTATTAACTTTTTCTCATAAAGGAATCCTAAATAGCTTGTTATCCAACGTGATACAATTATTTTCTAATGCAAACCATTCTGAGATTGCATAAAGGAATGGCAGAGTCCCTAGTCTTAGAATTTCTGAGGAACAGTGACAGTATGGATTTAGAACTAGTGATAGCTCAGTCACTTCTTTGATCTTAAGAAAAATACAGTCTTGAAATTTTTATCTCTCAGGCAAAATTTCATTTCTGAAATTCTCCTGAGAGTTTGGTTTTATATTCCAGTCCTATGATTATTAGCCTTTAAATTAGCTGCTTATTTTTTTTCTCTTTAGCCCACAGATTCTATACCATTAGAAGGTTTTCATCTTTTTTCAAAAAAAGCAATTACTGTTACATTTGATTCTGCTTCAAAGGTAAACTTCAGATAATTTAGATCAGTTTTAATAGCTTTACTGAGGAATCATTGATGTACAGAGAACTGAACATATTTAATGTATACACTTTAATGAGTTCGGACATATGCAAACACCTAAGATACCATAACCAAAGAGTAGTAGATATATCCGACATTTCAGAGTTTCCCGGTGTGTCCCCATCCCTTTTATGGTGGTAAGAACACTTAATATGAGTTCTGTCCCTTTCACAAACATTTGAAGTGTGCAGGACCATGTTGTGAACTCTCGGGACCGTGTTACACAGCAGACCTCTAGAACCTGCTCATCTTCATAACTGAAGCTTTATAGCCATTGAACAATTCTCATTTCTCCCACCCCCCATCCTCTGGAACCTGCCATTCTATTTTTTGCTCTTACCAGTCTGCTTCTCTCAGATACCTCATGTGAGTGGGGTCATGCAGTATTTGTCTTTCTGTGACTGGCTTATTTCACTTAACATTGTGTCCTCCAGGTTTGTCCATGTTATTCTGAACATATGTTAGAAAATTTTGTATACTATGTTCTAAAATTTATTCTGAATCATATTATCTTTCATAAGGTGATTAGCTTTTTTTCCTACTCACAATCAAGTCTGCAGGGTCACATATTTTTTTTAAGCCAAGCACCAGCAGTCTTCAAACTGGATTGTTCAAGAAGAGTTTAATGGGGATATTTGCAAAAGCTTTGGCAAGATACAATGCATCCGGCAAGAGAGAATGCATGGTCCTGGAATTAGCCATGGTGAGCGGCATTCCCACTCATCGTTCAGGAGGAGAAAAGGAGGAATTACACAGAACCCAGTGGAAAATAGCTGAGTGGAGAGGACTTCACAGGAAGCACTGTGGGCTGTGGTGGAAGGGCACGAAGCGAACACACGCTGACTCCACCAGGAGCAAACAAGAAATAAACAGTCCTGCTTCCCATCCTTGACTCTCGCCCCTCACTAACTAAACCCAGCAGGAAGCCAGGGAGCAAGTAAGTGTGATGTAGTCCATAAATGTCAGCCTCCTGGGGCCCAGAGCAAGTAGAATGGAGATGGGGGAAGGGAGAGGGGACATACCTAGCACAGTTATCAAATACCCTCGTAGATAATCCATTTTCTCAACTTTGTAGATTTTCGGTTTAGTCAGTCTTTTCTTCAGCAAACATTTATTGAGTGTCTAACACTAAGGGGCTGTGAATCTGGAGGAAAAAGACAATGTGTGCTTTCAGGGATCTACAGTTTAGTGAGGGAGTGTCAAGAAGGGCTTTCTGGAGGATATGCCTGTGATGGGCTTGGGAGGCAAAAGTGGGAATTGCCCCTGTGAAGAACGCCAAGAGTGATATTCCAGATGGTTGGAAAGCATAGACCGATGCTCAGAACTCTTAAGTAGCGTGGGTTTTTCAGTAATACATGGTAGAGACAATTCTCCTTCCTTACAGAATTCCTTTTTCTTATTTTTTTAGTACATAGTGGGTATACAAGTGCTGGAAAAGCACATATACACACATACACACACATTACATTTACAGTTTGCAGGTTCACCCTCAGCCCAGTGGGTGGGGTCCTTGATGTAAGCCAAAAGAATTGAAAAGAGTTTGGCTCTGAAAGGGTAATGAGATGCCAACTCATGTGTTCAGCAGTAACAAGAAACAAGATTTAATTGTGCAAGAACTCTAGGTGTCAGAACTGACAAATATAAACTATGAAAAAATATGTATAAAATTTTGAAGTAATAAAGGATACAATTAAAAAATGTACAATGAATTAGAACATGAAAGTTGAGAAAGAACACAAGTGGAACTTTTAGAAATGAAGATATTAAATAACTATTGAAATGAAAGTTTAACAGATTAAGTAGCAGATTAGACACAGTTGGAAAAAGGATTAGTGAATTCAGAACCATGTATACATGACCCAGAATGTGGCAAAGAGCATAGGAAGATGGAAAAACCTGAAAGAGAAGCTAGGAGATAGAAAGCCTGGAGTAATGACTAATTGTAGTTCTAGGAGAAAAGAGTATTAAAAGAAACCATAACAGCAGCATTTACAGAAGAATTAAAGAACAGGCGAAGGAGCACAATATAATTTTTACTGTAGGAAAATACACACCATTAAATTTTTCACCATTTTAACCATTTTAAAGAGTACAATTCAGTGGCATTGAGTTGCACTCACAGTTGGTGAACTACTTAAAGATCATAGTAGTCCTCTGAAAAACTCATTTTCATCATAATATATGATTTGCAAATAATAACATGTTATTTAATAGCTGTAATGGTGGTTTACAATCAGAACTTAAACATAAATAAAGTTAATCGTAAGTGTATCCACGTTTGCTCTTCCAAAAGATATATTTTAGTAAAAGAAATCATTTATAGCATATATGCAAGCACTTTTAAAATTGTCTCTATTAAGTCAAGAATTAAACTTGAAATTTCAAGTTATTGTTATAGTTGCCTGCATTTTAAGAATAAATCAAAGTAAACACTGTGGTACTTCAATAAGCACTTATTTTTGGAAATTGACATTTTTCTGAATCTTTTTGTGGTTTGCCAGTATCATCAATGTGCAATTTAAACCATCAGTGGAGGAATATGGTGCAACTGCGTCTCTGACTTTACGTGAATGCCAAAGAGCTTTGACTTTGTTTGATAAGTAATGGGAAACCATTGGAGGTTTTTAAGCAAGAGAACAACCTGGGAGGTCTTACCTTATGCTAGATTATTATGGCGCAAATGTAAATGAATTTTGGGGAGTAACCCCAGAGTGAGTAGAATACCCATATGGGAAAAAAATAAAATTGGACTCTTACCTTACATCTTTAAAAAATTGCAGGCAGAGTACAGGGATGCATATAAAAAACCAAACTGAAAAAACTTTTAGTAGATAGATAACATATCTACACAGAAGAGTAGAATTTCTTCTCATAAAAATCTCCAACCAAGAAGAAAATAGTGATAAATTATTATTAAAAACCAACCAGGTTTTCAATAATAAAAATTTTACAACACCCTGTATTCGTCAACTTGGGTTGCCATAATAAAGTGCTGTAGACTGGGTGGTTTCAACAAAAAGAATTTATTTCTCACGGTCCTGGAGGTTGGGAAGTCCAAGGTAAGTGTGTGGGCTGATCGGCTCCCCAGTGAGGGCCGTCCTCCTGCTTGCAGAGGCTGCTTTTCCCCTGTGTTCCCCACGTGGTGGAGAGAGAGAGGAAGCCGGTTCCCTGACGCCTCTTGTAAGAGCGCTAATACCATCCTACGGGCCCCGCCCTCATGACCTCCCCCACATCTGATCGCCTCCACAGGCTCCATCTCCAAATGTTACTGTTAGGGGGTGGGGTTTCAGTATATGAGTTTAGAAGGACACAGTTTAGTCCATAGCACACCCAATTTTCCATTTTCTGCCTTTCACTCTCTCTACTTCTCTTCTTCCTGGAATCATCCCCAGATACCCTAACTGCACACAAACTTTTGTCTCAGACTTGGTTTCACCAGAACCCAGCCTAAGGGTTGGCTCTGGAGAGCAGACTCACAGGATGGGATCTAGGAACTCACTAGGCAGTTGGCAAGAAGGCCAAGGCTCGTGGTAAGTGAAGACTGTGAGTCAACAAGAGTCATGTGTGCCAGGCGCTAACAGGAACTGGTGTGGCTGGAATATACGAGCATAGCCGAGATCAGGGACAGAGGCTGGAGAAGTAGCTTGCGACCAGATGATGCTGGTCCTTGTAGGACATGTCGAAAAGTTTGGCGTTTGTCCTAAAGCAAATGGGGAAGCCCTGAAGTATTTTAAGCGTGGAGCACTAGGAACAGACTAGAAAGAGGTAGACGTCCCAAGAGTAGGTGCTGGAAGGTAGGTTTAGAGGCTACTGCATTAGTCTAGGTGAGAACCAGGGCTAGTTTGGACTAGCATTTGAGACCAGAGACCATAGGAACCTTGCCTGTAACTTTAAAAAGAATATTTCTGCATTTCATGGAAGATGGAACCAGTTGACCATAGAGGGCTCTTCTGAAGACGCCTTTGAGTGACTGATGTTTTCATCAAAAAGGAAGAAATTCCTTATTAAAAGATTATGATTTCCTCAATTTGATTTTGCCTTTAAATCTCTGCTCCTGGACAA